GCAAATGGAGGAGAATTCTACTCGAGAAGACTTCACCCGGGTATTGCTGCCCCTAGTCTTATGCTAAGAAACGACAAACAAAGCTCTAGTGTGAAAGACGTGTTCATACACCGCGAGGTGGGTGCAACTAGCTAGGGACAAACAACCTTAGTCGATCAATGAAGGAAAATCAACAAATATAAGCTAGGAGAAATAGCTCTCTTAACCATAAGGTTAAGGATTGTGATTCTTAGCTAGGGAACCTAGCTCTCTTCACCGATCAAACCAAGAGATCCCTAACTCTCTTAGTTAGCTAATTGAGACTCGTTGCAACATGTTAGAAAGCTAACTCACTTAACCTTTCGGCTAAGGGTGAAAACGATAGGCTAGGAAACCTAATCCTCTCGACTAGACGACTAAGGATTGCAAACCAAACCCTCGGAACTTAATCCGTTCGTCGAAGAGACCAATCCCTGTGGAATCATGATCCTACTCCGATACTTGAAATTTTGGTCTTAAATCGACCTAAAGGAGTTTACCCAAGTGGCTAAGAAGTCTAGCTTCCTATTGGACCAAAAGGGGATTTCTACCCTCTATGTCAATTTTACCCAATATTGAGTTAAAGCTAGTACACTCAATCATTCATGAATAATACCTCAAATATAATATAAAACACTCAATAAACACAATAGGTTCATGTTCTTACATCCTAACACATAGAGAGACTAGGATTCGCAATACTCAAGTGAGTAGGTAAGCTATTCCATAGCTCGACAAGAGAAAACAACAAAAGGGGAAGAAAGAACAATGAAGTGATGCCAATCTTTTCTCCTTGTTGCTTGAGACACCCTTGAGATGAAGAAATATTCAATCCTCTAGCTATGAACAAGCCAAAAGCTCCTTCTTCCTCCTTTGATTTGCAATTTCTCACTCTAGAAGAAACCCTAACCTCTCACTAGAATCCTCCTTATTCTGAAAAATGAAAACCTAACCTGAAAATAAAGCTCCCGTTTTCTTATTCCTTTCAGCTCTCCCTTTATACTGAGATCGAGCTGAGTTCACGGCCTTCTAGTTCATGGTCGTGAACTCCTCAACGCGTCCGTGAACTCAGGGTGCTATGTCGAAACGCACCGCTTCACTTACTTGACTTCACGATTTGCACTCAAAGTTCACGGTCTTGGTGACCGTGAACTCACGCGGCGTCAGTAACCTCAGAAATTGCCCTGGACGCTTCACGGTTTATGGCTTCAGTTCATGGCCTTAGGAGACCTTGAACTCCAATGAGAAACCGTGAACATGGCCTGAAACCTGGACACCTGCACTTCACTGTTACGGGGAAACTGTCACGGACTTTGGACTTTTCTTCGGTTTTTGCACTTTTTGACCTCTAATCGTCCCGAAACTCGTCCTCGACCCTTCCACACGTACTAGGACCTGAAATTTATCAAAATAAGCACAACCTAGCATGAAATATGTCGAGGACGATGAAATGCAAAGCCAAACTATCACAAAATGAAGGGTAAAATGTGTACAATTGGACCCGAATCACCTCCTGCCTACCTAAATCCGGCCTCCACCACCTACCTCTTATGCTCTGTTGTTGTCAGCTTCTGCCGACCTTGAGGAGGAAGAACGAGGAAGATGGAATCACCATCTTCGGTGACGGGATTTCAACTCGTCTTGCCAGTAGGTCAGCCGACTCGGCTATCCGTCCGCCAACAGGTCCAAGTCGTGTCGATTACCTGCCAGATCCGCCACCGATAATGAAAAAAATTAGGGCAGATCTGGGTTTAGTGATAGATTTGTAGTGCAGAGCTGAGTCGGTGGCGGTGTTTTGTAGACGGGGGCAGCTATGGAGCTTGAAGTGGCGGTACGATGCCCGTGCATTTGGCGAGAAGGAAATCAAGGGAAGGATTTTATGATGGTTCTTCGGTTTTCCCAGAACTGAAATTTAGTGTTTGGGTTCTTGGATTTTCAAACTGATTTCCGTCAATGGTAGGGATTGTAGGACGGGGAAGGAAATTGGGGGAAGGATTCGTAATAGATGGAGGTGAAAATTAGAAGAGGACGAAGATTGGGGAAGGAAATTTGGGAAGGATTAGGTAATGGGTGGAGGTGGAAGTTAGAAGAGGACGAATATGAGGGAAGAGTTTCTACCATCCTTTTTCTATTTTTTTTTTAGTTCTTAAATGACGTGGATGTCCTAGTCAGCAGTGGATGCTGAGTCACTTACGGAGAAAATGGTTGACCGTCAATTTTGACGGTCAATTCAAAATACGGGATAAATTTGTCCAATAATTTCAAAAGTAGACCATAAATATCTTAATTGAAAAATGGGGAGAAAAGTTTAAGATGTTACTTGCTGAGATGAACCAAAAGTAGGCCATAAAGTAGGCCACAAACGTAGGCCATAAATGTCTTAATTGAACGAGTACATCAAATTACCAAAGACGTTGAAAAAAAAAATGGCTGAGATGAACCGAAAATGGGAAGAAAAGTTTCAGATGTTACTTGCTGGAAGGGAACCTCCACTTTCACGAAACATGTCCGATGAAGAAGTACGTCACCAATTTCATATTAGTTATGAGTTTCCTTTTTTAACGTTGTTGTTAACTATGTAGTTATATATATATATATATATATATATATATATATATATATATATATATATATATATATATGGTGGCGTCTTCGGTGCACTCACTTTTTTGGGTGCGTTCAGTGCACTCACTTCATAACCATCATTTTAAACATGCGATTTATGTAAAAATTATGTCAATCATCACTTGTGATGTGATGAACAATAACGCACATGAATTTGCACAAAAATCATTGAAGATTTACTTTAATTTGAAGGATTTAGAGTTTAGAGATTTAGGGTTAGGGTTAGGGTTTACAATTTGGGGTTTGTGATAGAACTCAAAATTGGAGGTCTAAGACTTAGGGTAATCGGCTAATTAGTTGTTATCATACGTTATATCATCATATTACACTGATTCTACAAATTAAAATTCAACATCCGACACCTTAAGTCTAATTTTTGAGTTGGGTGCATTGAACGCACCCAAAAATCATGCTAATTCGAGGTCTAGATAGCGTTTTCATACTCAAGGTATGCGGTACCCCGGATTTCACCCGGGGTACCGTAGAAGGCACCATATATATATGACTGGTGTACGTCAGGCGTATAGTATACGTCAGGTGATTTAGCCGTTAGATGTAGTTAGATGAGCTCTGGTCGATCACAACGGTCAATTTTTGTTTTTCATTAAATCAAACTTCGGGTTAGGGTTTAGAAAATCGGTGCCTGGGGTTTATCCATTAGAGGTTAGGGTATAGTATCATACCTCAAACTCGATTTAATTCATGGTCTAGATAGAGATATCTCAGTTGTAGTACCTGACGTATAGTATACGCCTGGCGTACGCCAGTCTGACCCATATATATATATATATATGGTGCCTTCTACGGTACCCCGGGTGAAATCCGGGGTACCGCATACCTTGAGTATAAAAACGCTATCTAGACCTCGAATTACCAGGATTTTTGGGCATGATACTATACCCTAACCCTTAATGAGTGAACACTAGGTCCTAATTATCTAAATCATAAACTATAAATCCTAAGATGGTGCATTGATTTTTTTGCCTATATTTGGACGAATCATAACCGTCGATTATTGTTTCTAATTAAATTGATCTTGGGGTATAAGATTTAGAGAATTGATACCTAGATTTTGATCTTTAAGGGTTAGAGTATTGTATCATGTCCGAAAGACCAGTCAATTCAAGTTCTGGATGGAGTTTTCTTACTCAAGGTATACGGTACCCCGGATTTCACCCTGGGTACAGTAGAACTCCCCAAATGTATCCTCGTATATGATGACTTCCAATTGTAATATGTTTTGATCAAGTCATAACAAGTGAGATGATATAAAAGGGGAAAAGGGTTTAGTCGGTATTTCCCGTGGTTTAGGTTTTAGATCTGAATGATTATGATCTAGTGAGATCGGAGGAAGGCGGTTTGGAGTTTGGCTTGCCCATTACGGCACTAGATAAAGAAAAGCGCGGCCATTCTTCTTGGGCCCAAAGGAACAACGAATTCAGGTAACTATAAACTATGTATGTACCTAGTAGTTACATGTTATAACGTAACCTTAAATAAGAAGGTGCAACACGTGCATGGATAAGAACAGAAAATGCGTAATCCATGCAAGCAAGCAAGCAAAGTTGTGCTCCGCCTGCCTGGAAGATAAGAACAAAAGAGTCTTTAAATTCACCGGTTCCATTTTCTTGTTACGAACACCTAAAACTATATATATGATCATAACGTATAGTTGGCCGACGTGAATTAGTAACTAATTATTTCCATTTGTGTTGTTCCAAGTTCTGTAAACAAACCTTATATGATTTTGCTTCATCGTTTAAACCATTCGTACAATATTATAAAAATTTATAGTAAAAGAGGTCGAGATCGAATACTAATTACATGGCCATTCGTGGGTTTTTTCCCCATGTTTTTGTGAATAACATGGTACGATCTCTCTCGCGATAATTCAAGTAGTCATGAACAATAGAGGGAAAAATAATTAACCTAGCTAGCCTCAGTCCACGTGGAACAACATCTCATATAACAACGCAACCCTACTACAACGACAATGGAAGCTCTCCCACAGAAATATTAACCCTCTTTTGTAATTATTAGCTCTAAATAAACTAAAAAAGTTTGTTGTTGTATCATAACTGCATGCCCCAGCTAATCCCTGCACACCACTCATCAATCCCACAAATTCAGCTCTCCAGAAACCAACCCCTCTCTCTCTCTCTCTCTCTCTCTACTTATAGCCAACAACCCAACCCACACACACTCTCCTTCTCTCTTCTCTCTCTAGAATTACCCACCTTCATTTCCCATCCTCCTCCTAATCAAAATGCATGCTTAATCCCAAGTAATCACAATATTCTTCCTAATACGTACAAACAAACAAGAAGGAGATCATCATCATCATCATCATCATGAGAATGAGGCAAACCACAACAACCCACAGCTTCCTCCACGACGGCCATCCGCAAAGCTACAATAACCACGAAGCCACCACGTTGAAAGTCAACAAGGACTCCCACGCCATTCTCAAGAACAAATCCTCCACACACCCCTACAACAACAACAACAACAACAATTCACCATCCTCCCCGCCCTACTCCTCCTCCGCCTCCTCCCTCGCCGTCGCCGGCTCCGCCAAGCCGCCGCCGCAGCGCCACCCGGTCATCATCTACACCCACTCCCCCAAAGTCATCCACACCCACCCCAAGGATTTCATGGCGCTGGTCCAGAAGCTCACCGGCCTCTCCCGCTCCGACCACGACCCGGACCCGGCCCGGTGGGACAACGCGGAGGAGGACACTCGCAATACCTCCAATAGTAATCATCATAACAACAACAACAACAACAACGACGACAACGACTCTTCCTCGGTCATTACGGAGGAGAACGGCCACCAGCAGCTCAATTCTTCTTCCTCCAATTGCTTTCTCAACAATCCTTCTTCGGTTTTCGAGTCTCCGCCGCCGCCGAACCCCTACCACCGCCAGCTGCCGGCCGCCGCCGCCGATCGATTAAATTTATACCCGCCCTTCTTTGGCTACGCGGATCCGTTGTTGTTTGGGACGTCGCCCGCTTTCAGGACCTTGGATGCCATTAATGATCACTTTCCTGAGTTCTCATAATTTTGTTTCTCTTCCTAATTAATTAGGGTTTCATTGCTTACATTTTTGCCAGATTTACAGAGGCGACTTTTTTTCTTGTTCTTTTTTTTTCAAAAAAATTCGTCGATTCTTTATTATTTTATTTTATTTTTTGCTTGCCTATGGTGCTAATAACACTCAGTCCGATACAATTTTCCTACTGTTTCTTTGTGTATTTTTTCATCCATCTTTTCTCAAGAATAAATAAACGTTTCAAAGATATGCATTAATCTAATAACCACGAACTAAACTACGTATGAGGCCGTTATTCTAAGAAGAAACCTACAGAAAAAGATTATTCAACCGAATCAAGATGGAATATCTCAAAATCATATGTTTATAAGCCCATAGATCTTCGACACCAAGTGGTTTTCTGTCGACTGCCAGACTTCAAGTCACAACATTCACATACAAAAGCTACAATTTCACGTAATTCTATCAAATATTCCCCTAAATTCAGGCACAAGTTCTACTTTTTTACTCACTCTCATTAGGTTACTCTTTTTCTGTTAGTCCATAAAGTCGGTCAGTTGAGAGTTTGATCGAGGGCATGAAGGCTAAGGTACCTTCCTAAACTGAGATTGAAATCTCAAAAGTGTTTTCACAACCTTTTTGGCTTCAAGAATGTCCCGTCTAGTGGGAGAAGTGGTCCAAAGCGAGTTGGTATGGTCTAGGGCTTCCGATTCAAAGGCTATGAGAAGGCCTTCAACCTCTTTCATAATCGTTCAAACAAGTGGTAGCGTTGCTCAATTGTGCATCCTTGAACTTCAGACCAAGCGACCAATTTGAAGGTGTTTGGCCGTCCGGCAAGGCCTAAAACAAATACCCATGAAGATGTGGTTGTTAAACATATGCATGCATGTAAGTATATCCAAGCTAAGTAAAACTATATGATTTTACTTGGTTAGTGTATCAAGTCAAACTTGTTACAATTGATCGATTGCAATAAAAAGGATGATAAATGCTCATTATGTTTGTAATCAGCTGAAATGATCAGTCATCTGCTCCTTTATTGCAACTTCTCTAAGAAATATATGAAACTGTTTTTATCTAGTCTGAACATAGAAGGACATGCCTCCTACTCCTATAGTTGGCACTATGGTGACCAAAACAAACCAAAAACCAACCCACCCGTGATAGTGGTGAATATCTGGTTTCATAGGTGGGTTTGATTTTAGATTCTTTTTAAACCTTAGCCTTATGGTTGGGTGTGGGCTTAGATGGTTAAAATCCGATATTATCCAAACGTCCAGTGATACTATATTATATATTCAATATATATTCTTCTACCAATAATTTATTACTTTAATTATTATTCATTCATTTGTTGACATAGTTAGTGTTGATAAATCGAAACTCAATTATTTATCATTGAATTTTCTTAGCATATACACTTATCTCTACATCCTCTATTTATATTTTAATGTTTTAGTTTACTAATAACTAATATGTTTGTAATTCTTGTATTTTTGTAGTATGAAAACAATATGTTACTACAATATCTTAGTTGTTTTCAAGTTTCACATAGTGCCATATATATGTATTATTTGTCATATATTATTAACTTAAATATCTATTACGGCTCTGCGTTAATAACGCGGAGGGAGAACGACGCAAGTTGGTTCATGAACATGAATATGCATGCAATTCTCTTTGTTTTCCATCCGCGCATTTACGTGCATATGGATGCATTCATGTATAAAGATCTCCAGACTCCAGTCAAAAAATTGAAGAAGAATGTAAAAGCAAAGGTTTGGAATCCCCACTTCTCCTCATCCTTCCCTTCATCTCCATTGAGAGTTTCCTCGAGCCATCAACCTGACCTTCCTCTCAGAGATCCCTTTCAACAGTTCACATTAATTACTTTCAGTTTCTGAACTGCCTTCTGTTTAGCCATACTACAACAACATTAGAGCCCCAGTGCCTTCAGGGTGGCAAGCTCAAGTTACAACAATTCTACAACACAGATGAATGATCATCATTCAGACACATTCATGAAGAGTGAAGACCAAAGAAAACCGATCTGGTTGCCCTGAAGCTTAACTCTCTGCATTTTCTCCACTATGCTCGTCAGATGGGTTCGTAGCTGGAAACAGATCGGTGTCTGGGTACATTGTTTGAAACAGCTGTCCAGGAGGGAAAGAAGTATTGAGATTAGATTCTCGTCACTAGAAGAGAAAGAACTTTGCATTTTGATTTCTTTCTCATCATCTCTTCTCTCTTCTTTGCCTTCTTTATCAAACCAATTATATGAAAGATGCATCTACATTACATTACCTCTAAGGTAGCATGGAAAACTGAATTGTAGTCCAGATCTCCATCGGGGGTGGGACTGGAAGCGATGCAATCAGATTGTCCCTGAACATAATTCACAGCCAAATGAATAAACAACTGAGATAATCACATGCATCTATGAACTGAATCTAGAACCATGCAAAAATTTGTATATAATGAATGTTGGCAGTAGATTCCATATATAGCGAAAGATGATGCTCTTGTGCAAGTCCCCTGTTTCATGGGTTGACCCTCAATTATTTCACTTTATGTCTGCTTAAGCTTGACCTACTCTCAATCTGATAAAGCACAAACAAACCAGAGTTTGAATAGGAAATGAGAAGCATACTGTAGTTTGCAGCTCCTGGGCGTACAATGCACTCCAAAGCAATGTCGGTTTGCCTTCCTCGGCACCAACTGGATGGCTTACATTTTCATCAGAAGCTATGGAACTAGACTCAGAACAGTCAGGGAAAGATAACAAGGCACTCATGGCTCTATTTAGCAACTTCTTCCCTTCAGCAACATCCTCGCACGAAGCCGAAAGGTAGATCACAAACCTGAAAATAAATCCAAAGTTTCAGTAAGTTACTGCTATCTGGATTTTAAAAAAATTGGTGCTATCGGATCAGAAACAGAAAAAGACAGTGACCCTTCTGACATGTAGTCCAACATACATCTCTATATTCTGCAAGACTTACATTCCCATGGGACATATAGCTGAATTGCCACCAATCTGAAGAACTCGAACTGTTGTTGACTGCTCCGGGTACAATGCTGGAATAGACAATGAGCAAGAGAAAACGAAGCTATTAACATTTGGTCTTTCTTACAACTTCAACACAGTTTAGACGCAAACCAAAGAAGCTGATCTTACATTGAGGGGGATATAAAACCAAAAGATTTGGTACATCCGGCTTCAAAGAACTTTTTGTAATGCAAATTCCTTTAACCACTTTGCTTTTGACATTTTGGGCGGTTAGAAAGTCAAATCTTGCACAGAGAGAATCATCTGGGGATGAAGTTGGTGATGATTTAGTAAATGCTGGATCCAGAAGAAGCTTATTGCTAAACAGCTCCTGACCAGAGGCTAGCTTTACACCCTTGTAATTGCCACTACTCTGAAATTGTTCCAAAGTAAAAGTTGTGAATTGATACCTCATCCGAAACCCATGACTAAGAAGTGCAGGACATATATACTACAACTTTAAGGAAAGTTCCATACCTTCTCCACAAGTAAACCAACCACTCCCATCCGAAGCACCTGCAAGGCATAGGTTCCAGATACATTAAGTATATCACCTTTACCAAGTTTGTAATAAAAAGTTATATTCTTTAAGCTAGTTTCTATCACACAGAAAGTGTAAGGATATGAGACTCGATAGTCTCCAAATTATGTCGAGATCATGGTGTTTCTAAGTTTATAGATAACTTCAAGATCAATTAAAAACAAACTGCCAACCAATGATTTCGTGAAAAATAAACATAATCTAGGTCCTCAAACAGCAACTTACACACCTATCAAATATTGGTCCTGGCCTATAGGGGGCGGAAAAACTTCCAAAATAATGGCCAGGTCATGAATAATCCATTGAATGCGAAAACGCACAAAAACGCCATCATAGTAACTCAAGAAATATGCAAAATCCATAGTATTTTGCATCAATAGCATGCAGATGTAGCAAAGAAAGAAATACATGCGAGAAAAGAATAAGAATTAACTAATTAAGATTTTCCATTGATCAAGAGTCAAAAAGAAGATAAACAAACCAAGATTAGGGTTAATCTCAACAGAACTTACATAGATACAACCCTTCACGGCTGCTCGACGACAAAATGCTTGTGGTAGTTCCCCTTGACCGTATATAGGATAAATAAAAGGCCCAGATGCATTTGCAAACCTGAACATCAAATGCCTTGCATCAAAAGAATACCCAGCACACTTGACATATAATTAACCGCATTCTTCATTGTCTATTAAATGTTTTAGTATATAGTCCAGGAGAAGGATGATATATTATTGATTTACATAATTACATTACCTAAGTATCAGACTAGCATATACATTGATAAAACCTAAGTCTATATAAACACACATAGCCTGATTATCCATATTCACTCATGCTCAGAATAAGTAAATAGACAGGAGGAGCAATTAGGTACGAAACCTGCCAATTGACGACTGATAGAGAGCTAAACGATCAACTCCATCTTTTGTTTTAAGTACTTGTTTAGAAATCTCCTTGTTCTCCTGATCGCGGTCTGCCATAGCTATAGCATATAGAACGATTCTGCGAAGAGTATGAGTATAGAAGTGGGATCATCAAACAAGGAACTTAATAAGCAGATAGAAATCATAAAAGAGAAATAGCAAGCTAATTTATTATACAATCTAAGGTGGAAATACCAAAATGGACAGCTTAATCCAAACTTATCACAGCACACTTTTCAAATCACGTAGTGAGAAACAACCGAAATCATCATGTTAACCTGAAAAGCTTGTCATCGCCAAAGCAATTAATACTTGTCAAGTTGCATATGGAGAAGCTTGTCAAGCAAAATTTAGCTCTAAGAAAGCATGAAAGTAAAAGAAGCTCACTAACAGAAAGAGAAAGCCAGGAACAGCAGTGTGTACGATTTAATCTTTGCGGGCAGCTTCATTTTTGTCAAGAAGTCAACAAAAGGACTCTCCAAATCTTCCACTGAAATCCTGCTTGCAGTCTCCCGTTCTTCACCTTTTTCACTTTGGTTGACATCTGTACCAACCGATGCTGCTGTAGCTCTTAAGTGCCCTTCTACCAGTTTAAGGAACCTCATCAACTGATTCTTCTGAATCAAGCTCAAACTCTTATCCTTGAAAATTGCAGCCCGAGAATCAGGGACCGCCAACAATGCCCCATCCCCATCACCGATGAAGCTTGCATCAATGCTTTTAAATTCCACATACTGGCTTGCCTCAGACTTCAGCATAAGATCAATGGCCTTGTCAGCACAAAACAAGACCCTGGGACCAGCTAAGTCCAGAAGGAACTTTCTAGAGCATTCTTCCAATAGCGTGGGAGAGAAAGAGGAGATTTCAAGGTCCGAGTAAAGAGATCGGCAATTGAGATTGATAATGGACAAATTGGGGTCATCAGATGGACAAGCAGTCTCCGGACACGACTGTGAGGCAGGAGGAGCAGAATTCGAATTCAAGAAAGAATTGAATTCTGGAATGGAGAGAGATGCAAAATGAGAGCCATAGAAAGGGTTTGGATCAAGATGAAGGACTGTTTTCCCGGAAGTGGAAGCTGCAGCTGCAATCACTGACTCAGGCAAACCCGTGCCAATGACGATGAGGTCAAATGTGGTTGGGTCGATTGGAGGGTACTGTGGAAGTTCACTCATTGCAAGCAACCGATTAGTGATTCCCGGAAATCAGAGCTCAGCGCAAGAGGCAGAGGTGCAGTGTCCTGTTAAAAGGACAAGGTGATGAGAGAAAACTAAGAACAGATGGATTGGAATAAGTGAGCACAACAATACCAAGCAACACTAGTTCCACAACGTTTGTGTCAAGCCTAAGAAAAGCATCACTCTTAAAAGCAAGAATCTCAACGAGACCTAAGCAAGCAAACTCGCTTGAAGATCCACTTTCCAGCTTCAGGGTTAATCGCATTCGAAAAAGCGCCCAATTTAGCAGTATCAAATGAATTCAAGGCTAAAATCTGACCAAAACAAAGACAATCCCCCACCAACCAATACTCAGTAAAAAGCAGTGCATCCAATTTTCTTCGCTCATTCGTCAAAGCTACTCAATCGAAGCAGCAACCGGTGTTAATTATTCTAAGCGGCAATAGGAGGGAAAAGTGCATTAAGCCATCAGATCCTACCTAGAGATACCAGACCAGACAAGAAGCAGAAGTAACGAAGAGATTGCCGAGCTCAATCCCCACTGTAGGTCCCTTCAGGACTCAGTGGAGAGGAGGACAGGAGCAGTCGGCCTGTTGGTGGGGACCGTGCCGTGGGTGCTCGTCTTTTCCGGCGGTGCTGGTCGACGGTGGTGAAGAGATGAAGTCGATTAATTAGGGGTTTGAGTTGGAAGAATTGAAAGAGACGGAGAAAGAAAGACTCGTCGATTTCCGTCCGACTCACAGGAAAGGTGAAGGGAGGGATGACGGAGGCGGAACGGCGGGAAATTCCCTCCTGGAGGCCCTTGTGTGTTTGGGCCGGTCTTAGCTGTATTTTGGGTTGTTCCCTTTTACTGGGCCGTCTATAATATTTACAGTCCCAAAGTCCTAGTGGAGAAAATCTGCTTACCTTTTGGTTAATCAAGCTCATCCAATCTCTACAAGAAAACAAATTGCTTCCTTCAATGATCCTGTTTTATGGCAATGGATATGGAATCAAAAGGTACATCCCAAGTTGCATTTCTTTTTGTTGCAATGTTTACATCGTATTTTGCCGACTCGAGAGGCATTAGTATCGAGGGGTATGGACTTGTTGCCTATTTGCCCAGTTTGTGGGTGCAAAGAAGAAATGATAGAACATATGTTTTCAATTGCTTTGTAGCGAGAAAGCTTTGGAGACTTATTGATTTGCAGTGTTTGTGGGAGGCTTCGGAGAAAGGATCTTTCACAGGCTTCCTCCGTTTTACCATCATGAGGATAACAAGTCCAGATGCGGACTACAAGATTATACAGGTTATTTGTTTGTTGTGGAGGCTTTGGAAGAATCGTTGTACAGTGGTGTTCCAATCGAGACAAATTCGCATGGATACTCTGGCTAATCAATGGTTGCATCAAGTGAAAGAGGTGGACCAAGCTTTGCTGCAATCAGCTCATGAACAGGCTAATAGTTCCGGTCGAGCTAATCCAGCACCTCCACCAATTAATCAAAGAGTGGCTACGTTTGATGTAGCAACATCTGCGGATGGGTTTGGTTCGGCAGGATTTGTGATGTTTGATCTGTCAGGTGGGATTGTGGCAGCTTCAGCTAATCGATATGAAGCGATGATGGATCCATATGTTTTAGAATCCTTGGCTTTACGAGACTGCATTGTTGACTGTCGTCGATGTGGGTTTAGAGATCTTACAATCTTTCGAGATGCTAAACTGATCATAGACAAGTGTTTGGCGAGGGATTCGGCTGACAGCAAGATTGATACGATTCTGCAGGAAGTTATTGGGATTCTAGATGATGTGGGTTCATATAAGATTCAATTCACTGGTCGTATTCGCAACAGCGCGACTCACTGTGTGGCCCGCCATGCTCTTTCTTTGTCGCCTCCATTGTTTCGGAGGTTACTTCTGCTCTTGGTTACATTCCAGAGTTGCTTAAACTCTGTTGATCATCATGTATCTGAACGATGTCCTCTTATTGAGAGTGATCTAATGGGGGGAGGGGGGAATTCCTTCGTTGGTCTTGTTTTGCAACCATGTAAGCACTAAAAATCAATTGAATCGATGAGGCAATGTAGTTAGTTAGTTTTTGTTTGATTTGATTATTTTTGGCGAGAGATTAATCATTATTATAGGCTATGGATACCTTGATAGTCCAAAAGATTGAGTAACACATGTTCGAGAGCAATATGAGATGAAGTGACATTTAAACTAGAACTTGTAATTTAATAGTTACGAGATATTAACAACAATCATTCAAGAGCAAAATATTGCCAAAATTATAAACACCATATACACTAATATTGTACTTTACACATAATTTATGTGAAGATAAATGTATACACTGTTATACACAACTCGATTTTAATGTATTTTGTTGGTGTCTAATCGGAACAAAATCAATACATATTGTTGATGGAAAAAAAATTTCATTTGAAAACGTGGGAGCCACTCCTTCACATACATACCATAATGAAACTTGAAAATGACACAAAATCTTGTGGACAAGCTACCAACTTAAAATCTTGTCCAATTCCCATGAGAAAGAAAAATAAAATTTGGGTGTGTCCACTTACAAATTAATGCTTGATATATATGATGATGAGCCCACAAATTCTTGGATCCTTGAACTTGCCCATATTAGTTAGGACTTCTCTCTCCAACTACACCTAATTGGTGACCCTCCAACCCCAAATATAGGAAATCAACAAAACTCGATCCATTTTGTTTGCTTTTTGGGGCCCATTTTTTAAAAAGAATTCCTCTTCCAAAGCACTTGTTCATTGCATTGCTTCCTGCTGGCTCTCAGTTCTTAAACTATAGCTAGGAAAAAGCCAGGACTAGTCAAAAGGGAGTCAATTGGGTTTCTTTTACATTTCTTTTCAGCATGGCAGAAAAGGGAGTCAATTGGATTTTTACAGTGGCTGATTTCCATTTCTTCTCGTCCAGCTACATTCATCTTCAGCGGTTTAGCAAGAATTTCATATAAGGAGATTTATTCAGGTTGAGATAAGGTGATCGATAATGATTGATAATGACGAGAGACTATGATAGGAGCAGTGGCGGAGTCAAGATTCAAAAGTATCTGTGTCCTCTTCTCAAAATATAAATATAAATGGGCAATGTCTATTTTTTACCCAAACCTTTTCAAAATTCTTTTATTTTATCCAAACTTATTGAATTCCTAATAATTATCCAAACGTTAACTCTCCGTCAACTTTTCTGTTATTAATGCTGATTAAGCATGACCATGATGAGTTGGCTTCCCACGTGTCCGTCAGAATACTATGATTTACTATTTTTAATAAAAAAAACAAAAAACAAAAAACAAAAAACAAAAACATTTAAAAATGCCTTCCCCTCCCCTCTGCCACCTCCCCTGCCGCAGCTGCTGCTTCCTCAATCTTCAAAAAATCACAAAACTGGAAACAAACCCATGTTCTGGTACTACAGAGGGAAGCAGGGGAGAAAGAGAAAATTAGCATAAACCCTAATTTCAACCTACACAACTACAGCCGCCACCGCCGACGACGGAGCGTGTCGGCCTCCTCCTCAACGGCGCTTCTCCAAATCCGGTGAAACATCTCCACGAGCACGAATCGATCTCAATCGATTTGGCCGCCGTCGTCGTTGCTGGGGCATATGGTGAAACCCCTCGTCGCCGTTGTTGGAATCGGAAGCCCAATCAGAGAAGCTGCCTGCTCCTCTTCATCTTCCTCCAATCCTCCTGCACCAGCACCAACGTCAGCGTCAGTCCAAGCAATCCTCACAATCTCTGCTCCCTTCCGGCTCCTGACCCATCATCAAACTCGATTCCCCAAAACCCATCTTTTGATTTTTTTTGTTCTTCCGATTCATAGATCTGGATTTCCAGTTTCGATGCCGGGCGATGGCGTCGATTTCCTCCTTAGTTTCGACGGCGGGCTTGGCGGCGGCGAGCGACGACGACGACGTTTGGGGTTGGGCATTGGGGTTGGTTTAATGGAAATAGGTTTTGTGGTGTGGAGGCGGAGGCGGAGGCGGAGAATAGAGGAAGAAGAAGAGATGGAGTTGCAGAGCTATGGAGTTTTTAAATTTCTAATTATTTTCTTTAGTGATATAAGAGTTTTTTTCCTTCATTTAGGAATGAATGCTGACATGAATGCATACGTGGAGTTCCGTTACGAAATAAGTAACGGTAACAGAACGAATGCCCAGACTTTGATCAGTTACAATAAGTTTGGATAATAAATAGAATTTTGATAGGTTTGGGTAAAATAAAAGAATTTTGAAAAGTTTTGGGTAAAAAATAGACATTGCCCAATATAAATATATATATATAGGTTAGCATACGTTCGGGCGTACGTTAGACTACCGTACGCCCGTTTGAGTTTTACTATTTAGATCATGAATTAACCGGAGTTTTGGGCATGATACTATACCCTAACCACTAATGAACAAACCCAAGTCCCTAGTTTTCTAACCCAAATCATGAGATTCGTTTAATCTTAAAATGAAAATCAACAATAAAATTAACAATATGAAAATAGTTCATTCATAGATAATAGACAAATAACGGACTAATACAATCATTGTTTCACAAACAACCACGATGTGTTTTCATATTCTGAAAGAAACGCAAAATACATTCGTTGTCTACACTCGTAAGCAAGTCTTTTTCAATATATCCAACTAAACAATCATTAGCAAACTAATCACCAATTCTACTTCGAAGTTTGTTCTTAATATAGCTCAAAGTTGAAAAAGCTCGTTCTACACTTGCAGTTGCAACATGTAGAATCAAAACTAGCTTCAGAAGTAAATAAGCTGACGGATATGACAGATGCCCTTTTGTCTTCACCATAACTTGAGATAATTCATCAATTCCTTTCAACCCGCAAATCTCTCATCAACCATACCCAACAAGCTGTTGTCGAATGATAGTATCATGAATGGAACCAAACTCATCAGGATAAAATCTAGTAAGATTAAACAACTTATCCTGGTCAAAAACAGCAATTGTCGTTGACGAGGAGTACAGAGTTCACCGACGTTGACACCGCGGCTGAAGGGGAGGGAGGAATGGATTCGTTCGCTGCGGCTGCAGGCAAGCCGCGTTTTTGGTTCTGAAAGAAGAAAAAAATTGCCCGATAGAGAGAGAAATTGATTAGGGATTTTACTTTGGGTTTGAAGGTTGTTTTGGACAATCTTATACGCAGGTGTGGTCATGGGTTTGAAGGATGTTGTGGACATACAAGGGGTATTTTTTTTACCCTAGAACTCACATGTGTCCTGGGACACATCCCAGGTGCTCTCCCTCCTCTATGGATAGGAGAATGTGGTGGAAGGTGAGTTTTTATAGTGAAAGACGAGTTGAGGTGGGCATACATGGTTTTTTTTACCTCTAGAATTCACCTGTGTCCTGAGAGACATCCCAGGTGCTCTCCCTCCGCCTATAGATAGGAGAATGTGGTGGAAGGTGGGTTTTTATAGTGGAAGACGAGTTGAGGTTACGAGCAATTTTTGATATGTTGATCGAAGGAAAAAATAAAGATTTTGAGGTTGTTTAGTATTAGGATTTTGTATAGTACTTTTATAAGTGATTATGAGTGTTACAAATATTGTAAATTTGTAATGAAATTTTTTAATATATCACATCGATGACTATATGGTTAAATGATAGAGATGCAAGTTGAGGATCAGAAGCTTATGTGTTCAAATCTGTTGTGGAGCATAAAAGTTATAAAAAAGAAATGGTGTTCTAACTTCTAAATCCAAAGGGAGTGCCATGGGATTTGATATGATCCAAATCCGAAGAGAACCCTCGAACTCAGATTATATGACCA